TCATCATAGCTGTGGCTTCGTGATCAGTTCTGGACCGGTTCCTCAGGAAAGCATCTGCCGGAAATGGGTAGAACATTAAAATAATGGATTGACAAAATTAAATTACTACTTTTCTCCAGGTATTGCTCTGTTTTATTTAGCAGTGTGTCTCATCCTGCGAGTCCTGTGGACTGCAAGGCGATCCAACCGGTCAGTCCTAGAGAAGATCAACCCTGACTGCTCTTTAGAAGGCCAGATCCTGAAGAGGAAACTCAATTTTTTTGGCCACCTAATGAGAAGGAAGGACTCACTGGAGAAGAGCCTAATGCTGGGAAAGATTGAGGGCAAAAGAAGACGGGGACGACAGAGAATGAGGTGGCTGGATGGAGTCACTGAAGCAATAGGCATGAGCTTAAATGGACTCCAGAGGATGGTAGAGGACAGGAAGGCCTGGAGGAATGTTGTCCATGGGGTTGCGATGGGTCGGACATGACTTCGCAACTAACAACAACAAAATATATAACATTTGTGGCCTATTAGCTTAGACAGAAAATGGGGCTTGTTACTGATAACAAGCACTAAAAGTGCTGGCTGAAATCAGGCAATTTTTTGCTAATACATAAAAGATTTCAGGGTGGTTTTTAGAATTGGACAAATCAGTTTTCTTAGTCTTCATTCCTGCTGACAACTCAGAATCAGAATCGAAATAGGGCTGGAAGGGAGGTCTTGGAGGTCATCTAGTCCAGCCTCCTGCTCCTTTTCATACATTTTGTTCTATGATGTATTTGTACGTAAGGTAAGGAAAAACACTTTCATTCTTCTTTTCTTCTTTGGGATGAATGGATTTGCCTGTTTGATTATAGTATGGACTCCTGTAATAAATTCTGTTTTCAATTAAATGGGGGGAAGGGGGGAAGATAAGGTAGAGATGAAGGAAAGACAAAGAAACAAGAAGTTCCTCTCACCCTAAGACTGCACAGTTAAAAATCTTAGTTTCTATCTCAACCACTTGAGATACTCTTGAGAAATTATTCACCCATTATGAGTATTTGGGTTTGTTTTTACACTTTACTATACTGTATATGAAGACAGAATTTCAGCACATTATTTCTACAGATAGCTTGGACCCGTTTTGAAGATTTTGTCATCTGCCTCAACATGCTTTTTACTAATTATGTGTTATTCATTAGACTTATAGCTGCATGTCTCTCCAAAGTTCAAGAATCATCTGCAATTTTTTTTCACTCTGCAAAGTGGGTTGAATCAAATGACCCAATGTACTTCCTAAAGCCAAGAGAAGGCTTGAACCTGCGTCTTTCAAGTCCTGTTTAGTATCTTTAACCATAGCATCACCCAGCACAGCTCAGATCCATTCTGTCAATAGGTAGAGGTAATAAACTTTTTCAGTTTTTGATTTTTTTTAGTGTTGTAAGGAGGTTGGGGAGGAACATGGGTAGAGTAGTAGAGTCTAGGAAGGAGGCTCTGCATTAGATGCACAAATGGGATCAGGGCTGTCAGATAGTTATCAGCTCCCTTTGGAGCCAGAGATCAGTGGGGCAGAAGAACAGCTGAAGCCTATTCCTGATGTGTGCATGCACAGAGCTGCCAGGAGAAGGGAACAGTTAAGGAACAAGGGCCTACTCAAGAGTAAAGGCAAAGGTGGACGATGAATGGCCCCTCCCATATGGAATAAAGAGGAGCGAAAGGGGAGTGGAGTTTGCAGGAGGCAATTAGTTTGCTTCAATTAGTGTGAAGATTTGTTCGTGACTCTCAGAGCCTCCTTGCCATGTATTTCCTTGTATAGCATTGTGTTTGGAAGATATCTGCCTGGCAGCTCTCCAAGCCTGATAAGGTCTGTGGTTGTAAATTCACCCTTGAAAGACTGTTTGCGAGGACTTTGCTGGATGTAAATGAGAGGAATTTACATTAGCTTAATAAAAAGGGGTTTTGTTGGAACAAGGGGTCTGCTTTGTGATTTTGTGAAGCCTAGGTTAGAATATTTAGTTTGATCCTAAATTAAACCAGGAATTCTAGTCAAAGATATTTCTATATTATGATCTCTTGAGAATTCTTTGTTTTCTCTCTGGCACTACAAATTATGATGTAATATCAGAGAAAATATGACCCAGATGTGGATAGAGCCTCCGTTACCAATTACCTGAGAATATTTGGTGGCAGCAGTAACTCCTCCTTTGTGGCTATATATCGATGGGCTTTTTACTAGCAGCTCTCTGTAAATACAATCCATGCCTTAAAACTATAGAGCAGAGAATGAGATTTGGTTCTGTTTTACAAATGACACTGAATCTAATTGTAATAAATGCTTTTGTTCAAAAGATGTCAAAGCAGCAAAATACTCTTTTCACTACATTGTGAAAAAGATGTTCAGAGCATGTAGAAGGAAAACCAGCAAACTGTTTAATTTGACTCACTGCTGAATCAAACCAATTGCATTTGTGCACATGCTGCTGAACACTTTCGCACAGAAGTGAGACCAATCTTTGCTTGGTGAGAGAAATGAATTGTTATATGCTATGGCTTAAAACCATAATAGATATAACTAATTAAAATGGTCCTTTACTGTCTGCCTTGTCCACAGATTTCACTGGTCTGAATAATATTGTGTTTATTTCTGCTAGTATTTCATTTTAAATTAGACGCTGAAGACTTCTAGTATAGGTCCATAGATAGAAGATTCTAGATAATTGTATTATTATGTGTTCTTCTAACAAGGGTCTGAAGCAACTATTTTAAGTTAAAAAAAAAAGCTTGCTTCCAGACATTATCCTTTCCCTGACAACGTCTGTTGGGAAGCCAGATTAGATTAAGGACAAGTATAAAAATAAGAAGCAACCCACTGTTTTTGAAATCTACCCTTAGGTTGATTTGGCTTCAGAATAGAGGCAGAACTAGAAAACTACACAACAGATTTCTGCATTTTTAGAAAGGAATACAAGCATGTTTTAAAAAGAGGAAGGCCCTCTGATGGTACAGGGTTTTATGAAATGGCTTCATCACCACCACTTGAACTGAAAACATGCCTCAGCTCTTCCAGATTAACCATAATTTGCCTATCAGATTCTAGGGAAATCCAACTGGATTTTAAAGTACACCTGTGCATTTACAGTATTTATGCCATGACACTTAGGGAAGTGGGGCGAGTATTTACCTGCAGAGTGAAGTAGTGGTGGGATGCTGCCGGCTTAACAACTGGTTCAGAGAGTGTGTGCTTTGCGTGCATGTGCTGCACTGAAAATGGGGCATTTAGAACCTCAGTTGCTTAACTTCCAAGTCAGCAATGGTAAGTAAAACAGCTGGGCGGGGATCAGCTGTGCCATGTGATTTAGATGAGCTAGAAAACAGGAAATAAAGTACAGGATAGAATGGGCCCAGCTGTTCATCGGAGCTACTGGTTCGCCCAAACCATTCTGAAATGGTAGAATCCCACCCCTGGAGTGCAGGCCACTGGAGTTCTTCAACTATCTTGGGCTGATGACACAGCCCTGAAAGACCAGCTGTACCATCTAAGCTCAGAATAGAACAGCTTGCCACAGCCAACTCACCATTGCCAGTTCACTGTGGCCAACTCACCGCAGGACAACTTGGCATGGGACAGTTCAACAAATGCAAAGTTAAATTAAGTTTGGCAGGCCCATGGCCAATAATAATAAAATAAAGAAAGTCAATTAATAAAAACAAGAGTCACCATGATTTTGATGAAAACGTGGCCAGCAATAATAAAAGTAACTGAATGAAACAATTAATACAGCATTGAATTGTCCTGTGGCGAGTTGAACAAGGCAAGTTGTCCTAGATCCATCTAGGTTCTAATGCAACCATTTTGCATAAGACCGCTTTGGATGATACTAAATCTAAAGTATCCACTGTGTAAAAACATATGTATAAATCACATTAACCATCTGAAAGGAGAGTTTAAGGTCCTTGGAACACTTCACAACACCACTTTCATTAAATTCCTCTGTTGCTTGATCTCCAAGGAGTCCAATAATTCTTGTGATTCTTAACTCTTCTCTGCAGCCAAACGAGCCTTCCCTCCATGCCTTTGTTAACAGAGATAATGAGATATTACTTAAGAAGCTGTCTCTGGGCCTGACCAATGTTAACAAGTATGGATGATATCCAATACACTATTAACCCAGCTCTTGGAAAATGTAGTAGCATTGTACTTTAGGAGCTCTTAGAGGAAACAAATTATTTAAAACCTTCCTGGTTTAGATTAAGAGCAGAATCTGCCATGGAGACAACCTTGATTATATTGACAATGACCTGAGGTCAAATAATTAATCAGAGATATACAAATCTGTTTGTATTTCTAGATTTCTCAATTGCTGTTAACACTATGACCATGATGTTCTATATATATTTATATATTTTTGAGAGCTGGGAATTAAAAGTTCTATATTATGGTTCCATTCTTTTCCCTGTAGGCATTTTTTTTTAAAAAGATGGCACTGGAATAATTCTGTCTGACTGACCTTATTGTCCTGAAGTCATGCAAAATCCTGTTTGTATTATTTAGCATTTGTTTGAAGTTGCCTGGAAGATCATATCAGGGTTTGGCGTTTGTTGGCACCAATATGCTAATATTCACCTGTGCTCCTCTTTTTTTCTGTAAACTATGCATTGTACATTTCGCAAGCTTCTATGTGTATTTAGGGTTGAGGTTTGGAGAGCAAGTTGAAGATGAAGTTATACAAGCAGGAATTGAGGCTGGTTTCAGAAGTAGAGAAGCTGACATCAGAATTTGAACAATAGATTTGCTTGGGATTAAATCACACTTTTCCTTAATGATCAGATTATATTTAGGAATCCTCCTGGACCCAGCTTTGATGCTGGATAGCCACATAAGATCTCTGGAAATGAGGGCTTTTATCAACTCTGGACAGCAACCTAGTTGTGTTTAGGGGTGGACTTCAAAAAATTTAGCCTGGTTGCTGGGTGTGCATGGCCATAATGGGCGTGGCCTAGTCAGCCTCCTGCACCATGATGGGGAGAGGTTTGCCCTTCCCAGGCTCCAGAGGCTTTCCTCGAGCCTCTGGGAGGGGGAAAACAGCCTCTCCAGGCTCCTGAGGCCCTCTGGAGGCCGGAAATGGGCTTGTTTCCAGCCTTCCCAAACTTCCGGTAGGCCGGTTCCCTGAACCTCTGTGCACTCCCTGCACTTATCTGCATCCACAATGGGCCGCGTGGGGATTCCTGGGAGGGGCGGGAGGGGAGGGGCCAGCCAGGAGTGGGATTTGAGGGTTCTCCGAACTGCACAGAATCTTAGCTAGAGATTCTCCTGAACCCTAGCGAGCCCCAGCAGCCCACCCCTGGTTGTGTCCTTCTGCAGAGAATTGCTACTTGGAATAACACGGATTAGGAGGAAATATGGAATCCATGAATACAGAGGCTCAACCATCTGTTTCTCTTTATGAACACCTCATCAATGTATGAGAATGACATTCTTGAAATTTCTTCCAAGAAGTCCCAAACAGTCTTTTTCTATTCCACCTTCCAAATTGATACCCAGAGGTGTAGGAGATAGCGGCAGACCTGTTCTACAATGAAGCTGGCATTCCAGAAATGTTGATCAAAGTAAATCTTGGGCAAGCAGCTAAATGGTCTGAGCCAGCAATAACAACTATATGTTCACCATTCACCATTAGCAATTCAACAACTCTGCTGGTCAACAAATTATCTGGCATTTTACTGACAGTTGATGTGGCAAAACAATTAGCATTGCCAGCAGTCTTTCAATTATTCCTTTCAGCCCAAACCCAGAGGAGGAAGTTACAGTGTTTGCTTTTGCTCGTTATCTTACCCAAATGTTTAAGTAGTCAAGGAAGGTGCCCGTTGAAGTGTGACTTGACATTTACTTGTGTTTTGTTTCCCATGGTGCACCTTTGATTCACATTTGTCTGGCCTCCTGCTTTGTGTATTGGGTTTACTTTATGAGAGAGTTCCTTTTTTTCCATTCCATACCCACATGAGAATTTTACGCTGTTTGTTTGGCATTGTCCCATCATATCACGTAACATATTCTAGGGTCCTCTTTAGCCGCCTCCTGGCAGAATTTTTAAAATGATATTAAAATTGGGGTGAGGGGAGAGGAAGAGAAATTCTTCAGCTGTCTTCCCTCCCAGTTGGAAATTCTAACTGGAACTCCTCCGTTGTGCATTGATTCTTAGAATGCACAAATACACAGCCATGTCTACTCCTAACAGTGACCAGAAATGGTTATTTATGTATGAAACTGAAACTTTTATGCCTATCTGACTGATAATGTTCTCCCCAACTCCTCCCCCAACTGCTGTTGCTGCTTATGTTCCAAGTATACTATTTTTGCCTTATTTGTGGGAACTAATTTTCACTGGGTATTGCAAAGCCCACACATGAGGCAGGGAACAGGAGTCACTTTCAAACATGAGGAATCACTCCTTCTTGGTAGTAAATTATAGACATTCCACTGAACTGCACTGAGATGTATTATTACTATTGTACCCTTGGGTTGTCTTAAAATTATTTTTATTCAGTCAGTCCTGGAATTGGACTTTTCTGGAATTGATGCAGTTAGTATGTATTGGAGAAGTGATTTGGAAGTCCTTATTACTTGGCAACGAGTTCCCTCAATGGAAAAATAGCACATTGCAAATGAAACCCATCGTTCAGTTTGGATTTCAAATGGCTGTTATCTTCAAATGCTGTTTCTCTTTCCCCACCTCCCTCCCTCCCACTAAGCCCCCTTCCTTCTTCTTAAATTACTTGCAGTCACAGCAAAAAAAAATGATGACTTTGAAATAAGGGAAGTAACAGTGTGTGTCTGAATTCAGGTGTGATGATTTAAAGTTCGGTTGGTTCTATTATTCCATTTCCAAAGACTATGCAGTTTTTCACAAATATTATAGTTTACTTAAGTCTTATGGCAGTGATGTTCTTTCACCTGTAAAGGGCTATTTCTGGGGGAGAACAGTGTTATTATCATCATTGTTTTTTAAAGGGGGGGATTTAGATATTAGGATATAGTATTCATCTTTTAAGGGATGTGGTGGCTCAATTGCTGAGTTTGTCGATTAGAAAGGTCGGCAGTTCGGTGGTTTGAATACCTAGCACCGCGTAATGGAGTGATCTCCCATTACTTGTCCCAGCTTCTGCCAACCTAGCAGTTCGAAAGCACGTAGAAATGCAAGTAGAAAAATAGGGACTACCTTTGGTGGGAAGTTAACAGCGTTCTGTGTGCCTTCGCCATTTAGTTATGCCAGCCACATGACCACAGAGATGTCTTTGGACAGTGCTGGCTCTTCGGCTTTGAAA